CACTGGTATAGAAGCAATAAATAGTTATACACTGGTATAGGAGCAATATATAGTCACTGGCTTGGGAAACAAGCTTTTTCCAAAGATCTATTAAATTTTTATAACAAAGCTAAAAAAATTCCAGTGGTTCTATCAAGTTCCAAAATCAAAATTTGAGACAAATCGGCCATGGGTTCATGCGTTATGATAAGACATACGAATAAACAGCTATAGCAATCACAACTATAAATATATATAAACAGTCCAAACTGCGATGTTAAACATTTTTTTGTTTGATTGACGATAGCTTGACATTTCTGACTTTCACTTCGGTTAAAATTCCGTAAAATCTTAAAATATATGTTTCCAGGATACAATATATTCAACAATAGACGTTATGGAGGAATAAAGGAACAGGGAGAAAGGTAAAACCGCAATAAACCCCTTCTAGACCTCTTCCTTCCACCCTCAATAACCCGACTCCTCTAATTACCCCCTCCCCCCCTCCCCTTCTATCCATCTGTCCTCTCTCCTAAACCACCTGTATCCTACAAACCAGGAGGGTTTCAAGAAAATTAATTAAAGAAGTTTTTAACCATTGTTCTATAATTATATATAAATATAGTTTTCTTTGTTCATCGGAATCCATAATAATTATATCCAGGTATATACATAGATACACACACCTGGCTTATTTATAGTGAACCAATCCTTATTGTTTACTAGATGTACTTAACATGAACATAGGAATTAATTATCAAACTACATATTTAAAATTTTGTTTTAATCTTTCTAAAATCAACTTTTTATTTTTTCAACCCAATAAAATGAAAGTGTAAATTGTTGCTATAGCTTTAATCTTTAAAAAAGTTATGGGCCATTTAAGATTTTTTTATGCTGGCTGTTTTTTTCCGTCCGTTCTCTTAAAAAATACCTCAAATTACTTATGCAGACGGATTAATTAAATTTCTCTTTGATATCCCGTGATTTGTATACCCTGCATGGGGATAACTTTAATTGAGGGATTAATCATTGATCTTCAAATTTAAAGTACCCACATTGGATATCTAGATTTATCAAGGTTTTAAAATTAACAATATCCAGACAAAAGTTCTAATCTCTGGTTCTATGTAGAGAAAAATCCTAAAGCTTATATTTGGGTTGGATTAGTATTGCTCCTGATGTAAGAATCATTAGATGATAATTACTAGGTTTCTCTCTCTGCAAACCTTTAATTACAGAAACATATGTTTTCAATCATATTTTCAAGCAGATTTAATTTGCAAACGTCGAGTCTTTCTAATTTGCAACAATTACTTTCTTAATCTGCAAAAACGGATAGTCTTTAATTTGCAATCAGTTCTGGGGATTTAGCAATTAAAATGTTGCAGCTTTCACGGTGTCTAAAACAAAACTAAAATTATTTTGCGCGGATTTTTTTAAATGCATGGGAAAAGAACTCTTACTTTCGGATTCCTATGCATTAGCAAACTCATGATGGAAACCTTTTAAACTTTAACTATTTTTAGAACTGACAAAATATCAGAGGTCTGCGCAAGATTTAGTTAACTAATTGAAAAGACACAATTTGAGGGAAGCGATCAGTCCCTTTCAGTCACTTGTAATAATATTGATTTCGACGTTTTCTTTTGGCAAACATCAACTTCACCCTGTAGACAATTAATTCAATTAATAGTCTTGTATCAGTAGATAAAATCAAAGCTTTTCAACAAAATTGACAAGATCATCCTGGTGGTTTTCAATCAATTATTAATATCCTAGGATTGACCACAAATATCCGGGTCCCGCATATATCTGATGCATATGAATACCACATCATGCTGATTCTTTAATAGTATTTGGTATTTTTAAACCAAACTCTCAAGTCATGAACCCTCCATCAACTCTGCTTTATCTCTCTATAGTAAGTATCAAAACAAACGTATTGACAAAATCACTATATAAAGTTTACAGATTCATTATTAACAAATAATTAACGAACATAGATGGTGAAAATAAAAACATTTTTTATGAAGATTTAATAAACAAAATAATCAATTAAAAGATGAATGAAAATTTATAAATGGTCCTATTGCTCCAGCTAATTAAGGGTAGGGGTCCACGGCGGCACATTTAATAAAATACCGGGGAATGAGCGATAAGGTAGGCTTCGTCGGTTCTAAGATGAAACGGTAAAAAAAATTTTGGAATTAAATTGATTTGTTTACGATCCGAGTTGAATGTTGCATCTTTCCGAATTTGTATGGACGCTGCGTTCTTCGGTGTGAGTCGTTTTTAACAATTTTCTCCTTATAGACGCAACAGATTAATAAGATTAGTAGCGATCAAAAGCGCTTTTTTATCGCAGTAAGCCTATACCCCCTTCATTTTTCGCGAACACTCGCTTTATTTGGTCCCTAATCCTGTGTATGAAGTGAATATTGACGACAATGAATTAAAAGTGTGTAGGATGAATGTATAGATAAATGTTGTATGGAAGGATGAATAGGTGGGTAGAAGATGGATGAATTGATGAATACATTGATTAGTTTTAGAAAGATGTATGGACAGTGGAAGACAATAAAACTCACAATTAGGTTTTATTGCTGCTTTTAGCAACTCTATTAGCAACTCAGTATTGGACATTCTTTAGACTTGACTTCATTACAACTCAATATTGGACATTTTTCAGACTTGACTTTATTACAACTCAATTGGATTTGAATTTTAAACCATTAAAAAAACAAGATGTTTATTCTTTATTTATGCTAATTATTGCTATAGGATATGTTTAAAAGAAGGAGACTAATAAACTTTGGGACCAAATTTAATGAACAGCGAGACATAGTTGAACTACGTAGACTAAGTTGACCCACTTTTATGGAACAAAGAAAACGTAGTTCCAAATTCCAAATCATAGAAATATTATTCGAAACCTAATTCTCCATTTTTATATTCTTAAAAAGTAAAAGTTTTTTTGTGATCATTCTCACTAACAAAATATGATGGAATGAATATGTGAAATAAACCATTGAAATGTTGAAGTTAAGAGAGGAAAGTATGGAAATAGAAGAAGAAAAAATCAAATTTAATAACAGTTATCTTCCACCCCAACTCTCTACTATACTTCCTCTAGTGTGTATCTAGTAGCTAGCTCTAGGTACTACCTAGACCAGGAGGAAAGCATTTACTAACCACACACACTTCCCTTCATGAGTTTTCCCACAGATCCTGCTCCTTCTCCCCGGGATATAAATATTATTTTATATTTTCTCATCCGTCCTAGTCTCCCCTTCTTATGCATTATACCCCGAGCTATTATCTAATCTGGGTTCTTCTAAAGTACAGGGTTAGTCAACAAGCCAGGAATAGACAGAAAAATTAATGAACATTGTTTGCTTTATATGATTAAAAGTTTTCAATTAAGAACTGTTAGATAGATAGATAGATAGAAATTTCAGCTAACATCACAATAAATACATTTTTAATTTTATAATTAATAACTAAAAAATCATTTTAAAATTATTAAAGATATTAGAATTAAAAAATAACTCTATATATAGGGCCTGTAATCAACAGTCCTTTTCAGGATATATGGGTTTTTTATTATCAAATACATATTTTCAACCAAAGTTTATTGACTCGGCCCTATACGCAAAATAAGCTCTCACTTATATACAATCAGAAAATCAAATTAAATTAATTTTCCAACCGTTCAACATTCCTTAAAACTTTGCATGCGTGTCATCCGTGGATTAGAGTTCATAATATCTCTCTCTTAATCTCTGAGTACAAGAGAAATGTTTTTTATTGTATAAAGGAAAGGAGAAGGTTTGATGAAGAAGGGTTGCTAGAGAAGGGTTGCTAGAGAAGTATTGCTAAAGAAGGGTTTCTAGAGTAGGATTGCTAGAAAAGAAAAAGGTTGCTGAAAATGGGTTGCTAGGGAAAAGTTGCTAGAGAAAGGTTGATGGAGAAGAGTTGCTGTGGAAGGGTTGCTAGAGAAGGGTTGCTAGAGAAGGGTTGCTAGAGAAGGGTTGCTAGAGAAGGGTTGCTAGAGAAAGGTTGCTGTAGAAGGGTTGTTAGAGAAGGGTGTATAGAGAAGGGTTGCTGGAGAAGGATTGCTGGAGAAGAGTTGCAAGAGAAGAGTTGCTGGAGAAGGGTTGCTAGAGAAGGTTTGATGAAGAAGTATTGCTATAAAAGTGTTGCTAGAGAAGGGTTGCTAGAGAAGGGTTGCTAGGAAAGAGTTCCTGGAGAAGGGTTGCTAGAGAAGGGTTGCTAGAGAAGGGTTGCTAGAGAAGGTTTGATGAAGAAGTATTGCTAGAAAAGTGTTGCTAGAGAAGGGTTGCTAGATAAGCATTGCTAGAAAAGAGTTGTTAGAGAAGGGTTGCTAGAACAGGGTTGCTGGAGAAGGGTTGCTAGAGAAGGGTTGCTAGAGAAGGGTTCACGTGTTGAAGTAAAGATCTCCTGTGGCGAAGGTGTGGGAGGATCTATATTAGGAATGTCGGCATTCTTCACAAAGAATCAAGTTCTTGCAGTTTTATCATCCTAGCTCTCTCAGTTCTCTCAGTTCAGAACATTCATAAATTATATTATTAGAATCTTATTCATAATTACAAGACTAATCTTAATGGATGAATGAATGAATGAATGAATGAATGAAGTACTCCAAAAACAAGCTCTAAAGTATTGGGGCCAAATCAGGCAGGAACTTTTCGTACCCTACCCCCCCCCCTCCGCCTCTCTGCTTCTTATATCAAAATCGGCTTCCACAGCGCTTTGGGACACTCTTTTTTCGCAATTAGCTAGGGTCTTAAATATGTCTCTAACGGCAATAATTTGTATTTATGAAAAGTTAAAATATTAATGTAAAAACTAAAATTTTCTAATTCCCATATCTTTGCAACCTGAAAGTATAAACCTTTGATATTTCAAACTTAGACTTTTTGGTCGATCAGAATTTTAAAGTTTAAAATATCAAAGGTCTACAAAAACGTGTTGCTATGATATAAGGAATAGAAAACCAGAGTTTTACGTTTATTGGATACAAACAAACACACCAAATATATTATAGAAGTTCTTAGTTATCATCAATGCCTAAACATTCAGGATAGAAAGCATCATGAGAGTAAAAGCATTTATTAAGCAATATTTATCAAGTCTAATAAAAGTGGCATCGCTCTGTAGAGGTTTTGTGATGAAGATAGTTTTCTTGGTCGTAGATTCAGGTGTTCTGGAGCTGTTGGATTGGGTCAGGTTAGCTCCAGGTTGTACTCCTGGTTTCTCTAGGTATAAATTTATACTGAGTAAAGATTTATTGAAAAATCTAAAGAAACGGATATTTCACATATTTATTTTTCTCGTCTGATAGTGTAAACCTTCGATACCTCAAACTTTGACTATTTGATTAAGCAAAAATCAAAGTTTAAAATATCAAAGATCTACGCAATCAAGTTGCAAAAATATAAGAATTAACAAATTTAGAATACTAAGAGAATAATCAGTAACTAATTCCTTTTGCAAACTCTTTAAATGCTATATTCAAGACTCTTAAACAAAAAATTATATTTTTTTCCTATTTTTGGATTTTTTGTTGAACACAGCTATTCCGTTTTTTGGTGCCACCTCTTAGATGCATGTGTTAATGTTACATTGTACTAGTTACTCATTACCTAAATATTCAGCGAATATCTGGTTAAATATTTCTTCATCTATAATGTATTCAGTGTTCCCAAACTCAACGCTTATTCTGCTCTTCAATCCTAGTATTAATTATTCATAAGAAACCCCACAAGGACGTCTAAACGAAATTTCTTTATAAGTTTTAATTCATCGAAGATTTTTTTGAAATTCAAAAGATCAAATTCAGTCGTTAAATCGACATTAAAGTCTTATTCTTTATAAATAGTAAGTACACCTTTTGTACCTTTTGTACCTTTATATAAAAATAAGCGTTTTACCTGAATCAAACCCCCCGTTAGAACTTTCTCCATAAGGATCGTGCTTACAGACCAGTTTCCCATCTAAAATCAGAACACTTGTTATTGATTATTTTTCAAGCATTTTCTCTATTGATTTGAAAAAAGGAACAGCTCTTGCCACAAACTCAAATTTTCCAAACCTTTCATATTTAAATCTTAGAATATTTGATCTGGCAGAGTTCATAGTTTGAAATATTAAAGCTAAAAGCAAAGCAAAGATATAGAGATTAGAAAATCTGAGTTTGTGGCAACGTTTTCACCAAATATAGTTGATTTTCTAAAAAGTTCAATTTATTGGACCAAAAATAAACCTCACTATTGGGTTTCTGTGTAAAATAGGACCTCAACCATTGTTTTAAAACAAAGAATCATGATATTAGAAACTGATCAAGTACCTGTTAAAACCAACCCTGTTGTTAATGATACCAGGAGAAGAAGGATTCTAAAACCTGCCATCTTTCTGAAAATCCACGAGAAAGTGTTAGAAATTATTACACCTCGATTTAAAATAATAAAAAATAGTCACTCAGAGGCAAATTTGTTAATTAGCGAGAAGTATTTGGGCTATTTAGGTTTAGTTGAACCACTTTTTTTGTGTTCCTTGATTGTTTGAATTCAATTAAATTCTATAACAATTAAGAAAAATAGGTTAAAAATAAAATATATTTTTATTGATTGTTCAGAATATACAGATATGACTAGAATTTGGTTTACGAGGTTATCAAGGAAATGCATTTTTGATAAGAACGCAAAAAGTTATTATTGAACTCGAACATTTTTTCTTAGAAAATATATATTATATGTGGTTATATATATATCACGGGGATCTAATCTAGATTTAATAAAGATATTCAAGAATGTCCCCTGAAATCAAGGCTTGGTCTGATCTATTGAATCGTCAACTTTAAGACCAAAGGAACTGAGTTTTTGTCACGAATTTAAATTTTTAATTTCCTATATCTTTTCAACCCAATGGTTTAAATCTTTGATATTTCAAACTTAGATTATTCGGTCTAACAGAATTCATAGTTTGAAATATCAAAGACTTATGTCATCAGTTTGCAAAGATTTATGGATTATAAAATCTGAACTTGTGGTAAAGACTCAAATCCTTTGTGTAAAATATGACGCACGCTTCATCTATCTTTTTAACCAAAACTCAATAAGGGAATCTACAAAAAGGTTTTATCAAATATAAAACCAATAAATCATATTTAACTCAGTCGACAGTATACAAAGAGAAAACCAGTTCAGTATTACAGAGCCCGGGACCTTTAAGGTTGGGTTTGGCTAGATGGGTGACAGCATGTTATAACTATATAATCAATAAATGTCTAGCTATATATAATATATCTAAATATATGCATATTTGCCTTGTCTCATATTTAATTGTTTGTTTGTTTGGGTGTTTGTTTGTTTGTTTGTTACGTTCAACTTTAAAATGGCTGAATCAATCGGTCTCTTGATTTGCATTTGATTAAAAAAAATTGCCTCAAAAAAAATAGAAATCGACCAAATAAAAACAGGAAATCTACGAAATCTGCGAAATCTTAAAGTTTTACTTTTCTATAATGTCCTATGGTTGATTATAAAGCAATACTTAAAGGCTAAAAGTATTATTAAAAAATAAGGGAAGGCTTGTTAATTAAGAATGATATTCCTCTCGTTCAGAATAAATCATAGACAATTTACATTCACATCATAATAAATCTAGTCAAATAATGCAAAAGTACCGGTATTTCATTTTGTAATTCTCACAGCTAGTATTCATTCATAGGGTTGTTGAATAAATTTACAGTTTTCAACCATAAAATAATTAAAATTGATTTCTTTTTATTAATTTTCTACATCTCTCACTGCAGACCAACATCGTAAAAGTATTCCATGTAGAAAATTGATCCAAGCGCAGTGGGACGGAAACCAAAGTTCTCCGAACCTGGATATTAACAGGTGGAGATATGTAATGAACCCTCTCCGCAGGCAACCATGGGAACCTGCATATATTCATACAACAAGGCTTGAATACAATATTGAAGAGAGGAGTCAGGAAAAAGAACTAATTAGTCATAATTTAGTCACTGCAGCAGGGAATAGTTTGTTTGGTCAAAAAGAAGGATAGGAGGGAAAAGCATGAGGGAAGGTGAAGGGAGAGGGTAGAGTGAGAGGATCAAGGGTGTAGATTAAGAGAAAATGTGAAAAAGGAGGTGAAGGGAGAGGAAGAGGATCAAGGGTGTAGATTAAGAGAAAATGAAAGGAGGTGAAGGGAGAGGGTGAAGTGAGAGGATCAAGGGGTGTAGATTAAGAGAAAATGTGAAAAAGGAGGTGAAGGGAGAGGAAGAGGATCAAGGGTGTAGATTAAGAGAAAATGAAAGGAGGTGAAGGGAGAGGGTGAAGTGAAAGGATCAAGGGTGTAGATTAAGAGAAAATGTGAAAAAGGAGGTGATGGGAGAGGGTGAAGGGTTAGGATGAAGGGAGAGGGTAAAGGAAGAAGGATAGGGTGAAGGGAGAGAATAAATGGTGAAGATTACGAGAAAGAGTAAAGGAAGAAGGTGAAGGGATAGGGAAGACTAAGAGGGTGGAGAGAGAGGATGAAAGGTGAGGATGAAGAGAGAGGTTTGGGGGAGAGAGTGAAGGAAGAAGCTGAAGGGAGAGGGTGAAGGGATTAGGTGAAGTAAAGAGGACCATGCTATGATATAAATTTACAGAAAAAAAGTATATTATCAGTCTTGTTTAGATAAAAGCAAAAATTACATATTTAATTAATATTTAACAGGAACTCGTTTATTCCCTGTCTAAAATATTTCCTGTCTTGTTTAATTCTTAATCATCAGGAATTTGGCGCTCTAGCAGTGTAATAATTACTAGGCCACGATGTTTAAGATATCTATGATTAGCTGATATAAACTGGATATATATTAAACTATCAAGGACTATATAAAGTCTATAGATTTATGGCTAAGCTTTCAACTCAGTGACATGGAGATTCTGATCATGGTTTGATTTCTTTGAAACAAGTTGATTTCCTAGAGCTAGGAAGTTAAAGAAATCCTGATCATGGATTGATTTCTTTAAAACAAGTTGGTTTCCTAGAAATAGGAATTTAATAAGAACATGATCATGGAAAAGTTTGGTTTCATAGAAATAGGAAGTTAATGAGAATCTGATCAGGTTCTGATCTCATGAAAAGTTAGTTTTCTAAAACTAGGAAGTTTAAAAGATTCTTATCAAGGCTAAATCTCCTTAAAACAAGTTGGTTTCCGAGAACTAGGAAATTAAAGAGAACATGATCATGGTTTGATCTCTTCTCAACAAGTTGGTTTCCTATAACTAGTAAGTCAAAGAGAATTTGATCAAGGCTATATCTCCTTACAACAAGTTGGTTTCCTAGAACTAGGGAGTTAAAGAGAATTTTATCAAGGCTATATCTCCTTACAACAAGTTGGTTTCCTAGAACTAGGAAGTCAAAGAGAAGTTGATCAAGACTATATCTCCTTACAACAAGTTGGTTTCCTAGAACTAGGAAGTTAAAGAGAATCTGATCAAGGCTATATCTCCTTACAACAAGTTGGTTTCATAGAACAAGGAAGTTAAAGAGATTTGATCAAGGCTATATCTCCTTACAACAAGTTGGTTTCCTAGAACTAGGAAGTTAAAGAGAATCTGATCAAGGCTATATCTCCTTACAACAATGATGCAAGAAGCTTCATGAAATAAACAATGGTTCTCGGGTGCACACTATACTAGGTTTGAACTTACATACATCTCATTACTAGGTTCAGCATTGTTCTCTGGGTATATACGGTTTAGACTGATTAGACTCAAGTATAATAGGTATCTGAATACACAGCAGTTATGCAGGGTTACCCACAAAGAATGAGACTGCAGACGACCTGAAACTAAGATAATATGACGATTTCAAGTTTAAATTGAGTCTTCTGCCTTAAAGGGACTGTGAATGAAAAATGAAAGGGGTATAGGCTGAAAGCTAATCACTTTAGCTCTTGATCGCGACCCATGAAAGTTTTATCTGATGTTCCTGTCTCCTGTCTCGAGAAATTGATATAAAACTGTGTTAAAATTATACGAAAGTTCATATATGTAAAATTGATAAAATCTTAAACTTAAATCAAGTGACCAGAACTATCACCAATGGCAGAGCAGTATACTGATCATGTGTCTCCGCCTGTATCACCTGACCACTTTACTGCACTGAATTTCTGGTCAAGTAATACGGACGTATAAATAATATTATGAATGAAATCTATTAAAAATAGAAATTACAAATATAAAAGTAAACCTAATTTACAATTAGCTTTCTCTGGGATATCATCGTTTTCAGATTGGTTGCATTTGCTGAATTTGATCTTTTTAAACCTACTACTTTTATACAAAATTGTATATATATTAATTTTCGTATAAATTTATCAAAGTTGCATATCAATTTCTCGAGATAGGAAAATCAGATATGACTTTCATGGGTCGCGATCGAGAGCTAAAGTGATTAGCTTTCAGCCTATACCCCCTTTCATTTTTCCTTTACAGTCCCTTTAAATATAATCTTTTGATGGTATTATTTAATGATATTGCGAGTTTGACAAGTTTTCAGCTACAGGGAATCGTGAAAATAAGGAAACAGACAGAATACATTCTATACAGTCGTCTCTGAAGTGTCATCCTTTGTGGTTAACCCTGTATATCTAATATAAACTATAATGTACAATATGCATGGTAACTTTATAAACGTAAGACTTTAATGTCAATCTCTTAAAATACAAAGACTTTATAAAGACGATTCAAAACTATTTAAATAAAGCGGGGGTATAAGGAACAGACCAGCTGTGTAAGGTAGTTGAACTTAGTATGCAGTGTTATGGACAAATTCTTCAGGATTCATTTGAGACATACAGAGCGTCCCATATCATATTAGATTATCTCCAATCTTTAACACCTAAATACACACATTATACTCAAAAAATCTAGCATTTTCTTCCAAAAAAATTTCTATTAGCCTTATTAAATTTTTCAAAATGATTCATTCTTCTTAAGAGCTGTAAATCCTGAGTTTGAGCGCAAAGTCGACGATCAAAGGATCAAAGGATACGTTTTCAGAATTATTTTTTTTAAATTATTATATAACGATGACGAAAAATGTATACAAAATTCTACAGTAAACTAATTAGTTGTTTTGGAACAGGTTGAGAAATAAAAATTGATTGATTGATAATTGATTCTAGCATTGATTTATTGAAAATTTTCCTTTGAGAAATATATTCCTAGCCATCTAATTAGTTTACTGTATAATTTTTACTTTATTTTTCGTCGTCGTTATTTAATTTTTTAAAAAACCGATTCTGAAAACGTACCCACCCAAATTCATGATTTTGAACGTCGACTTTGCATTCAAACTCACTAATTATACATCGTGGAAACGTTTCGTATGTCTCAAATGAATCCTAAATAATTTTTTCCACAACACTGCATACTCAGTTTAATTACCTTACATAGCCGGTCTGTCCCTTTAAAGGTTGAATTTGGACTGTGTACTTAATCAATTCAATACTAATTTAACATTTTTCATCTTGAAAGATATAAATGTACAGAGATGTTTTAAAGATATTCCTATTATATAGATTAACTAGGACGGTTGTGAACATTGGCTGTTCTTATGTCATTGAGTACTTGTGGTGTACATGAGTTCTGTAGAGAGAAATTTAAGTTAGTTTAGTCCTTCTCATGTCCTTCTTCAGTTCTCGTCAATATGATATATTGCTCAGTGAAATAAAATTCACTCCTGGGTGGTTTAATAGTTATGAAATCCATTAAAACACCAAACCACCCCGCTTATCATTGAAGTACACTTTGACCCCTAGAAGTATGAGTTCGCGGACTGCAGAATTCTTGGTGATTTTGCGTAGATAAGCATATGTAGAATATGATCGGAGAGACAATAAACAAAAAGAATAGAACTAAAAAGAATCATAAGCAAAGAAAAGAAAAGACTCAAAAGACAGAAAAGAAGTCAAAGAGAAATTTAGAAATAGAAATAAAGAATAGGTCAGAAAAGTGAAGAGAGTCTGATATTTAAGGTTAAAAAGGAACTGAACACTCCCCTCAAACCATAATTTTCTAATTCATATATCCATGCTTATATTTTATGTTTAAATCTGCGATATTTCAAACTTGAAAGATTTATTTTATATTCCATATGCGTAATTTTTAGTTTGTTTGAAGAGAGATACTTTTAAAGATAGGTTCAAATGTCGTCTTAGTTGATTTATTCGCAGCAAACTGATTGGATAGAGAGGACTGATACGTGTAAGATTACTGTTCAATATCCTTAAGTCAAGCTTATATATTCTACAAGCTATTACAGTAAAAATCATTTAAAAGTAAAAATCTACGGTGGAAATGTGTTGACTGGATCAATAACCTTGGAAGTTCGTAAAAACTGTTATACTCCGTGATTGTTAGTTTTGCTGTTTAGCAGATAGATGCACCTGAATTGTTGATGTTGAAGTCATGGTAAGTTTTCAATGTACGACGACCTTCTTATACTCCCTTCTTTTTAACATAACCGAGAAACTTTAGTCTAAGAGTGCGTTCGTGGATAAATCTAACCATGGTTAAAAATGTCACCTTGTTTGTAGAAAACATTGCATATTGCCAATTGACTTATTTTAACCCTCATAACGTTGAATTTTATGAATTCTAGGTCGTCATTATAATCATTAAGATTTCATCCTCGTAAAGTAAAAGAAGAACCAAATATAATCAAATAGGATTAGTCGCCAAAATGCTCCGAATCTACGCTGGTTTTAAGTTACAGTGAAACCCAATTAATAACGAATACATCGAAAGAATTCATCAAATGTCGTATTCTTCACTTTCTGATAATGGAATGTTGCAGATATTTAGTTTTTTAATGAAATGATTATATGGAACTCTTTAAAACGGTTCCCGCATATTCATGGCTATTTATTTATTTTCGCAAATACTGAAATTTGCGTAATATAGTATAAAACTCATTGAAAAATTGTCAAGACGACATTTGATAAATTCTTCCGATGTATTCGTTATTAAGGGTTTCACTGTATATAAGTGGGAAATAAATAACTTTGATCCGCAAATAAGTTCTTCAGAAAAAAGTTATTTCAATTAACAAAGTTAAAACACTAATGAGAGAAACCTTTGAAATGCCTCTGTGATATCATTCTGTGATATGTAATGATATAATGATATAATTCAGTTGAAAGAGTCTGTAAAAGCCCTTAATTCCTACTCGAACCAAAAAGTTTAATTGGAGTTTTAAACTTAATTGATATAAATCAATTTAGTTTTATAGTGTAGGTAAAATTGACTTGTTTACTGTTTTTTTTTATTTGTTCAGGCTTTCATAGTATTTACAAACGTATTTACATATTTCAGCTGTGAATTCGGTCATTGAAAAATTTCTCTTTTTTTATTTTAACAATATTGATTTTTTTCTAGTTGACAATTACCCCCTCCCCCTTCCCTGGTCCCATTTTGTTCTCTACTTCTTAGAATATCAATAAGATTCTTAGCATTGCTTAAAGGGACAGACTGGCTATATGTAAGATAGTTGAAACTGAGTATATGCAGTGTTGTGAACAAATTCTTTAGGATTCATTTGAGACATATAAAACTTTTCAAAAACCTGAAAATCCTGAATTTGAGCGCGCAAAGTCGACGATCAAAATCGTACTTTTGGGTGGATTGGATACGTTTTCAGAATTTTTTTATTTTTTTATTTATTAAATAGCGACAATAACAAAATTCTACAGTAAACTAATTAGTTGTTTAGGAACACGTTGAGAAAATAAAAATTAACTCTAATCATCGAAAATAAGTAATCTTATTCAATTATTAGTTTCTATAATCTCTCTTTAATTACAAAGATGTTCTGCGGATTTTCTGGAATTTTTATTAAAAAGACGACATTTTAAGAATTTGAAGAAATCTGCGAACAAATACATAGAAAATAAGAAATTCAATATAATGATGAAAAAGGAAATAATTTATTCTAACTTCGATTTATTGACAAATTTCTTTTGAGAAATATATTCATAAACATCTAATTAGCTTACTATAGTATTTTTACCATATTTCTCGTCGTCGTTATTTAATAATTTTTAAAAAACCGATTTTGAAAACATACCCACCCAAGTTCATGATTTTAAACGTCGACATTGCGCTCAAACTTAGTAATCATACATCGTTGAATCGTTTTAAATGTCTCAAATGAATCCTGAAGAATGTGTCCACAACGCTGCATACTCAGTTTAACTACCTTACATAGCCGGTCAATCCCTTTAATCCTTATTTTTTGTAATTTTATAGCAAAAATAAGCGGTTATTTGAACAAATATATCTGAAACTTAACACTTTTAAAAAAGTAAAGACAAAGATATGAAAATGTAAAAATCTTTTTCTTATTTAGCAATTGCTGGGGAAATAAAGGTTTGGTTTTGTAAGTCTCATTATTGACTTTTGTCAGGCAGTGCACTGGACTAACTAAATCAGACCAGACTTAAAAAGAGGCAGGCGCGCAACTAGGGGGCTGGGTGGTTTAATAGTTATGAAATCCATTAAAACACCTAAAATGTTTAGGGGGGGGCCAAAAAAATTTTCGCGCTCCGCGCGAAATATTTCCCCCTAGCCCCCCTCTAAAGAAATGTCTAGTTGCGCGCCTGAAAAGAGGTATAGCAGTTTTAAAAACAATTTCGGACTTGATTGGTACTTATTACGTAGATCCGTTTTATTTTCGAGAAACTGGTTAGAAAACTCTCGCATTTTTCAACCTCAAAAACAGTCGAGTAAAAATGTTTCTGTATCCTCTCAGTGTAACAACATCCGGTAAAGTCTAAATTCTTTACTCAAATGTTTATTCTATTCTTAGTCATTTTATGCATATAGAGAAAAGATAAGGAAACTTAATTCTAGTATGTAAACAGTTTAAGCTCAGTTCTACACTAGATACTGTACACTGTAAACATTATAAGCTCAGTTCTGCACTAGATATTGTACACTGTAAACATTACTGTTAACATTATATGCTCAGTTCTGCACTAGATATTGTACACTGTAAACAGTTTAAGCTCAGTTCTACACTAGATACTGTACACTGTAAACATTATAAGCTCAGTTCTGCACTAGATATTGTACACTGTAAACATTATATGCTCAGTTCTGCACTAGATACTGTATACTGTATACAACATAAAATCAGTTCTACACTATGATACTGTACACTGTAAACAGTTTAAGCTCAGTTCTGCACTAGATACTGTACACTGTAAACATTATAAGCTCAGTTCTGTGCTAGATACTGTACACTGTAAACATTATAAGCTCAGTTCTACACTAGATACTGTACACTGTAAACAGTTAAGCTCAGTTCTGCTGGCTGCACTAGATACTGTACGCTGTAAACATAATAAGCTCAGTTCTGCACTAGATACTGTACACTGTAAACATTATACGCTCAGTTCTGCACTAGATAGTGATACTGTACACTGTTAACATTATAAGCTCAGTTCTACACTAGATGCTGTACACTGTAAACATTATAAGCTCAGTTCTGCACTAGATACTGTACACTGTAAACATTATAAGCTCAGTTCTACACTAGATACTGTACACTGTATACATTATAAGCTCAGTTCTGCACTAGATATTGTACACTGTAAACAGTTTAAGCTCAGTTCTACACTAGATACTGTACACTGTAAACATTATAAGCTCAGTTCTGCACTAGATATTGTACACTGTAAACAGTTTAAGCTCAGTTCTACACTAGATACTGTACACTGTAAATATTATATGCTCAGTTCTGCACTAGATACTGTATACTGTATACAACATAAAATCAGTTCTACACTATGATACTGTACACTGTAAATATTATAAGCTCAGTTCTACACTATGATACTGTACACTGTAAACATTAGGTTAGGTTAATACATTTTTCGGGCCGAGCACTGTGGTTAGGGGGCCGAGCGCTGCGGCCCCATTTATCAAGTTGACAAAGTGATGGCCGAAATGTGGGGTTAGGTTAGGTTACGACAATTTCTGGGCTGAGCGCTGCGGAGCTAGGACAGACTAGGGGGCCGAGTGCTGCGGCTGTGAGTTCAAATGAACTTTAAAATAGTTTAAATGAACCAAAAAATGGTCTGAACATTTTTTATGTTCCTATATATATATGTTCTTATGTCATTGAGTACTTGTGGTGTACATGAGTTCTGTAGAGAGAAATTTAAGTTAGTTTAGTCCTTCTCATGTCCTTCTTCAGTTCTCGTAATTATTTGTTCATTTGAACTATTTTTTTGTTCATTTGAACTATATTTGTGCATTTGAACAATTTTTTTTTGTTAATTTGAACTATTTTTTATTCATTTGACTTATATTTTTTTTAAAACTTTTTTTTTCATTTTTACTGTTTTTTTGTTCATTTTAAACTATTCTTTTGTTCATTTGAACTATTTTAATGTTTATTTGAACTATTTCAATGTTCATTTGACTATTTTTATGTTCATTTGAACTATTTTTATGTTCGATTGTACTATTTTTCAGGGTCATTTGAACCTTTATGTTAAAATAGTTCAAATGAAAAGTAGTTAAAATGAACAAAAAATGTTCAAATGACGTTTCAAACGGCGGTAGTGCAAACGGCGGTAGTTCAAAAAGGGTAGCATCTATCTTGCATCTAGATAAATCTAGATATATCACATAAGCTCAATTCTCTACTAGATATTGTACACTGTACAGTGTCCTGTGTACATCGTGAACATTAGCTTAAATAAACAGGGTGTCCCACGAAACATGTAAGTTGAAAGACGTATTGACTGTCGTCTTTGATCTTTGAAATAAGTTGCAGCATCCATTCTTCAACCTAAAATCATGATTTTAGAAACTACAATATTCTTCTGTTATATGGTTTTGCGTTTAATATAACCGGAGATGTTAAGAATTTTGTTCAGATTTCAATATAGTTGATGAAACCAAAATTGTCGAAATCTGAACAAAATTTTTATATCTATAATAGTAATTTTGTAAGCTGCACCAAAAAGACAGACCACATTTAAAAATTGTTAAGGCTTTAAGAGTATTTTGAGGTTATCATGTCAAGAATTACACTGTTATTAGTTTTTAAATATTGACGCAAATTGTTTTTAAGATCAAAGACGAAATTCAAGTCGTTGCGCAAATGAAATTTTTTGTGTGACAGCCTGTTTATTTTAGATATTAGTGATATTAGTGATGAAGTATATAATTCTTGATGTAATACTTTTCTTTTCACAATGTAAAAACACCTTGTTGGAATTTAGGAAGACGACATTAGTTTCCAACTTTGTTTTCAGCAGGATGTTCGACGAACTCGGTTTATCTGCTGCAAAGCTACAGAGTATGCCGGCCAACTGGTTTCCATACTTTGATATCTGTCATTATATCCTCGCTGCGCTGGCGGTCAGGAAGGAGGTCGGAGTTCCATTTAGCAGGTACACTCGTTTTATGCACATTTAGAGATAAACTAGATAATCGACCTCCCAGGAAACATTTAAACCGACTTAAAGTTCCGCATGGCAAAAATGTCAAGTAAATAATTCTTGACTTTTGATCTTCGACATCGGCACTTCGGAGACTTAATGTTTGCAGTGCTTAGAAACGACCGTACGAATTAATTATTTATTCTTATATCTATGTTTCCCTGTAGCTTTAAACTTCTTTCTTTACAAAATCTATTAATGAACCACTAATAAACTGTTTATAAGCAAAACACCGAGTTCAACCAATTCAGATCATTATTTAAAGACTTTCCAGTGAGTTCCGACGGTTTTACACACAACAAGGTCTCATTATAACAGTCGTTCATTGCATTGTCTAAGTAACAGTCGTTCACTGCAGGATCAGTAAAGTATTCAGGGGGGGAGGGCAATACTCCTGTTGCCCCTCCCCTAGGATTCTTGGGCAAAGATTAACACCGTGGGTTTGGCAGGCATCTATGAATTTGCCCCAATCTCAGAGGAGAGTTTTTCTCCTGTAAAGAAGTTTAAATTTTTCTTTGCGCTTCGCAAAGTTGCCTTCTATACCCTGTCTAAATATAACTATAAATTAATTATGCAGGTATGGGGTAAATATGCCCCCATTTCAAGGGAGGGTGGGCATATTATCATTTAATCAATTCTTGCCCCTGGCAAATCTAATTAAATTTAGAATATCGTTTTTGAAAATAGTGTGTTTAGAAACAACCCTCTGGCTACCTGGGTTGCAACACTGACTGCATCATTTGCTGGAAGCATGATTGCGAATCCTTTGTTAGGTAAATATAAGAATCAATGGTACTGTACGTACAGAGTTAACCACAAAGAATGAGACTGTAAGGACGACCTGTAGCTCATACAAATATGCAAATCTTCAGGTTAAATTAAGTCTTCTGCCTTGAATATAATCTTTAAAGGGCTTAATTTATGAACTTCATAAAGTCGTCTCTGAAGTTGCAGCCTTTGTGGGTAACCCTGTACTTCTTGTACCGGCTCGGCGTCCATTAAAAGTTGAATTTGTACCGTACACTACACAGTTTATTTACCCAGATGAATTTCTTCTTATAGAGAGGTATAGTTTGTGTTTTATACAGTGGTCACCAAAAAAAGGTTCTTACAAAGACTCTACAATCAAATATTCAATGCTATATAAAATTTGTACAGGGAAACTTAAAACATTGATAAAAAAAACAATCGTACATAAATTGCGCATTTATTAGTTCCATCAATAGAGGTATTAAGATAAACCTATATTGTTCCTTGATTAAGATAAGACATGTCACCAAATTAAACAAACTAACAAAATATTTATTTTCTTATCTTTAAACCCGGAATTCATCCGGTTACAACTATTCTCCGGGTCAGCCCAAAATATAGCAGAGCTGTAAACACAATTAGCGTATTGACCTGGATTTGGAATAAACGGAACTAATTACTCATGTGATTATATTAAGCTCTAATTTTCTAACCCTTATGTCTTTGCAACCTGATGAATATAATCTCTATTGAGGTAAACCTGTATTTGGAGCAGTGAGTGATGAATATAATCTGTATTAAGGTAAACCTGTATTTGGAGCAGTGAGTGATGAATATAATCTATATTAAGGTAAACCTGTATTCGGAGCAGTGAGTGATGAATATAATCTGTATTAGGGTAAACCTGTATTTGGAGCAGTGAGTGATGAATATAATCTGTATTAAGGTAAACCTGTATTTGGAGCAGTGAGTAATGAATATAATCTGTATTAAGGTAAACCTGTATTTGGAGCAGTGAGTAATGAATATAATCTGTATTAAGGTAAACCTGTATTCGGAGCAGTGAGTAATGAATATTATCTGTATTAAGGTAAACCTGTATTCGGAGCAGTGAGTGATGAATATAATCTGTATCTTGCAACCCTGGTCTGGTGGGCTGTATTCTACTCCCCTGCTGACATAGTTTATAAAGGAAATATTCACAAATATAAAATAAACCTCTCTACCATTCTTCCATGTCATATTTTTGTTACATTTATCCAAATTATGTTTTAATGATTTTTTTCTGAATATACATTTGGGGCATTTTACCAATAAAAAGGTTTTGTCACATTGTTTCTAATCTTTCTCTTTAGTATACAACTCCCAAAAAGATATGTTTTTTGTAGACACTCTCAAACAAATATTTGGGTAAAAATAAATTATTTAATTTTTAACCCTGATTTCTTTTATAACTTAATATAAGTGAATCGTATCTATTACAGTGCTGAAAAATCAGGTAGATAAAATAGCTATATAACTTAATATTATCTAGAATAATATTATATTTTCAGGCGGTTTATCTTCCTATCTGTGTATTAAAAGAGATATACAGAGCCAAGAAAACTTTAGGTATCAATTTAAACTTTCAACATGTGCACCAACTTATGTTTATCAATTTCAAAATTCTATATTTTATAAAATTCATGATTAATTAGAAAACCAGAATATCCTGTTTGAGAACTTTTAATCCCCTTATCTCTAGGTGGGATATCTGATGCTGCAAAACTATACCCGGATCATGAACTTATTCAAATCACAGTCGGACTCATCAAGGGAAATGGATCAGGGTTCATGAAACCAATCACAAGGTTAGATCAGGGTTCATCAAACCAATCACAAGGTTAGATCAGGGTTCATGAAACCAATCACAAGGTTAGATCAGGGTTCATGAAACCAATCACAAGGTTAGATCAGGGTTCATGAAACCAATCACAAGGTTAGATCAGGGTTCATGAAACCAATCACAAGGTTAGATGAAGGTTCATGAAACCAATCACAAGGTTAGATGAAGGTTCATGAAACCAAACACAAGGTTGGATCAGGGTTCATGCAACCAAACACAAGGTTGGATCAGGGTTCATGAAACCAATCAAAAGGTTAAATCAGGGTTCATGAAACCTATCGCAAGGTTAGATCAGGGTTCATGAAACTAATCACATGGTTAAATCAGGGTTCATAAAATTAATTAAAAGGTTAGATCAGGCTTTATGAAATCAACCACAAGGATAGATCAGGGTTAATGAAACTAATCTCAAAGTTCATGAAACCAATCTCAAGGTTAGATCGAGTTTATGAAACCAATCAAACCGTAAGATTATTAAGATTCATAAAACCCATTACAAGATTTCTCCAGTTTTATGGTTCAATGTGAACATACATGAAAATTAGGTTCCTAACTCCTTATTTCTAGGTTGGTTTGTGGAACCTGGGTTCCAGGTTCCTCTGAGCTTCTAAAGATGTCTGTGACGAGTAAGGGCTGTCTTGTTGCAGCAGTTCTCATGGTAGCTGATAAAGCAGGGTAAGGATTATATTCATATCAAACCTTAACTGCAGAGAAAGGTGAGAATTATAGTCTTACCAGAACCTAGACTCCTGAGCAAGGGTTAGTACTAGATACTCCTCAGAACCTTTACTCCTGAATAGGGATAATAATCCTACCAGAACCTAGACTCTTGAATAGGGATAGTTATCCTACCAGAACCATAACTCATCAGCAAAGGTATAGATTACATTCTTACCAGAACCTTAACTCCTGTTAAGTCTGGATTACTTTCTTAACATAACCCTAACTTCAGAGCAAGGGAAAGGATTCATTCTTATTAGAACTTTTATCTCAGAGCAGAGTAAGGAATACCAGTAAAGCTTGTAGTATTACCAGAACCTTAAATCCTGTTCAAGTGAAGATTGTAGTTTTACCAGAACCTTAACTCCTGTTCAAGTAAAGATTATAGTATTACTAGAACCTTAAATCCTGTTCAAGTGAAGATTATAGTATTACTAGAACCTTAAATCCTGTTCAAGTGAAGATTGTAGTATTACCAGAACCTTAACTCCTGTTTAAGTAAATATAACATTCCTACCAGAACCTTAACTCCTGTTCAAGTAAAGATTATAGTATTACTATAAACTTAACTCCTGTTCAAGTGAAGATTGTAGTATTAACAGAACCTTAACTCCTGTTTAAGTAAATATAACATTCCTACCAGAACCTTAACTCCTATGCAGGGTATGGATCTGACTAAATTCCTTTTCTTCAACCCTGAAAATCTATTCATTCATTCCCGCTGACCGTATTGAGGTTGTGCATGAATAAAAGAAGAGTTATATACTCAGTAAACCATGTAAACCTGTCAACCGACACAACAACATCAGGTTAAAACAAACATTTACATTCTAAGCATGAGGTTCCGAATTTAGCTGCGGGATGCAAGGAAGGATATATATAGAATATATTGCATACCATTTCTCAACTGTACCTTGTAGAAAAACAAATGCAATGCATGTGTGTTTCTACACCACTTTGGTTTATTCATATATTCTACACGGATTTTTTTTTCTTTTTTTATAATTTGTAAAAAGCTTGTCAGAAATCAAAACCTTTATTGTATTGATATAAACGCCGACCACTGTATATTTCAAGCAGTATGATGATTTAAGCTTGTCCTGTTCAAATAGACATATTCCTGCTCCTGTGTCTGGCGATCTCCTGTATCTGGGTATAGTTGGAGTATTCATTCTGGTCAAGCTTGCACCACTACTCGGAGAACCAATTGATCCTTTCAAACCTCTACAGAAGGCGGTTCATTTACTTACAGGTATCATACAGGGTGTCCCAAAAAACATGGGAATTCAGTGACGAATTCGATATCGTCTTTTCAAATAATTCTTTGATTTAGTATAGTGATACCTACTGAGAAAGCTGTAATCTGTAAGAGTTTCGTCTGCTATGTTTACATTTTGTTTGTTTATGTTTTGACTGCAACCGGTTGTACTTAGTAAAACAAGAAAATTACAGTATACAAACAGAGTAAACTTGTCCGTATTCACTGTTCATCTTGCGGAGACATTATACACACATCTTTGCAGTCTTTTACCCTTTTCATTAAATAAACTCTAGCAGACATAATAATATTATGGCTTTTGAAATTAGGTATTACAATGCTAATTCATAACAAAGACGATATCGAATTCGTCACTGAATTCCCATGTTTTTTGGGACACCCTGTATCTAAATATAGCTTACTGTCAAGCAAGATTCTTTTTTTATTTTCTTTAAAAACTCCGTCATATGAGCTGTAGTTTTATGAACAAGATAAAATTATTTTAGCAAGGACAAGTACTTTTTAATAATAAAAACTACTCTGACATTGTTCTAAAATAGCAAACAAACAAATGTGCGGAAAGTAAAAAACGTAGAAATAAAAGCGGTTTATTTAGAAAAGGTTCTAATCTTAAATATCAAAAGAAATCAGAGATTATATTTGTAGGTGATCTGTGGAATAATGTTGAGAATATTAAAGAAGATTAAAGTTGTTCATTAAAGGGACTGTACGTGTCATTTCAATTCAAAAGTAAATATTCATTTTCTGCGACTTTTAGACAGTAAAGATTAATATTCATTGATTATATAACAGCTTGCAAACAAAGTGTTTCACCATTATAAGCGTTTTTGTAAATGAAAAAGTCCTACACATATCCTTAATCAGTTAAAAAATGTAAAAGGGTAATGTTGTGAATCAGACACGTCACTCAACAGGGTCACTTGAAATTACGCCTTCAGTCTTTTAAAACTTAACATATTGTAACAGTATTTATAAAATATTGAAGAAAAAAAATAAAAAATTTATATTTTTATTGATATGGTTTTGCTGAAGTAAAACATTTCGCTAGAGTTTTGATCATCTGATATGATATATTATATATGTATATCTATGTTCCTAAAATAAACATCATAAACAGAGCGGAATGAAAATAAACACAAAATTAGGTGTGGTCCGGACGAAAAATAGGTGAGCACACATATTTTCCGTTTTTGTTAAATTAGGCTTAAAAATCATTGTATTTCTTTTAAACAAATTTAAAGTACATCATAAACAAAATCAAACCTAATGTAAGAAAACCTTAGCTTATAAAATAGAAAACTAAATTTGAATGAATAATGCCGGACGAAAAAAGACGAGCGCACTGCCGGAAAGTCGACTTTTTGACGTCATATGCGGTGTCGACGAGAAATGGCTGCGTAATACCTTCCTTTAAGATCGATATAATGTAGTCTTTGGAAGATCTCAAGTATACTGATCCTTGTCTCCGTAGCAAGGTCTTTAAATGAACTAAAGATAAGATCTAGCAAAACACAGTTCTCCTTTCATACTTGAGATTTACATGACACGAAGGTACTAGGATAGGTATCCAGGATAGGAGGTTTCAATTCTAAATATATCTAGATACTAGGATAGGTATCCAGGATAGGAAGGTTTCAATTCTAAATATATCTAGATACTAGAATAGTTTACCAGGATAGGAGGTTTCAATTCTAAATATACCTAGATACTAGGATAGGTATCCAGGATAGGAAGGTTTCAATTCTAAATATATCTAGATACTAGGATAGGAAGGTTTCAATTCTAAATATGCCTAGATACTAGGATAGGAAGGTTTCAATTCTAAATATACCTAGATATTAGGATAAGAAGGTTTCAATTCTAAATATATCTAGATTCTAGATACTAGGATAGGAAGGTCTGCGAAACAATTTATTTACATTGTAAATGTAAAATCAACTTTGGCGTCCATTTTATTTTTAAAAAATGTTACCAGATTCTATAAATTTTGAATATATATGGTGTATTGTCGTGTTTCTAAAAATATTTATTTGTAAAATTCTTTTCTACGTTTATTATGATACTTACATAGCCCCAAAAAAAATCTCCAAGATTTTATGCCATTTAGATTGAAAGAGTAGTTTTCTAAATATCTTAACTGCACCTCTAGTTTTATTAAGTATCAAGGTAAGGATATTGTACTAAAGTACGAGGTTAAGATTAATAATATCTGTAAATAAACTGCGCCCTGAGGAAGGACGAGAAAACTGCAGTTAACCACATAAACCTGGATAATTACACGGTTACTATTATAGTCGTGTTGTATTGTACAGTTTGAAAATTAAGAGTATAAAGCACAACAATCTACAACTTTTCTCGCCCACTTTTGGGACTTGGCCGACATTCAAGTAATGCTTGGCATTTACCCTTAGTCAAACATTTTCAGTCCGTCTTTACTTTTTAATCAACAACGCCTTGGACTTCTATTTTACCTCATTAATTAACTTATATTTGTTTATAGCGCTAACGTACTTCTCATCGATATTTGCTTTAGAGCTTTCAACATTTGGATCACTGTGAGTAGATCTAGATCTAAAATAGTTTTAATATTTTATAAGATTTTAACATCAGAAATAAACATTAGGTCGACATGTTCAATGTTTATCATTTGATCAAACAGGTTTTTCCATCTTCTTTTTCAAGTGAGTCAATTAGTGAAATAGCATTTATCTAGTTTTTATCCTTGACGTTAGCGGAATACAAATCACCCGTTATACTTCTCATTTCAGATATGAAAAATTATGATCAATCGGAAAAATATAATCTTGATTTTGAAGAGCTTGAAATATATGATGAGATGATCTTGAAAAAAGTAAACAATTAATCTCGTCGTAAAGCCCAAAGTTTTTAACAATGAACTAATTAGTGATCATCTGTTAATCAATTAACGTTAACACAAAGCCTTGTTAAAACTAAACTCACGGATATATAATATATTTCTTTTATAAATTGTATAAATAATATATACATTTACAATGCACACTGTACATACATGATTTGTACATAGATTAACAAAAATCATTGGATTTCGTAAAAAAGCTTCCAAAGCAGTTCCAGTTCAGAGAAAAATGTCTGAGTTTAATCAAACAGATCAATATTCTTGATTAACTATTGGCTCTCTGTTTATTTTTCCAATGCTTAGTTTTAAAGAGACATTAAAAACCACATTTTTGCCAATATGAAATATAAAATCATTTAGCTCAATTCTCAGTGGTTTGTGATAATATAATGATTGCTTGATCTTGAAAATTTATCTTTAAATACATCCTTGGAATTCATGGTTATCTTAGGAATATTAAATTCTATAGTTTTCCTGGATTTCATATTATTCAACAACATTGGTTAATTTGGCATTCATTGAAATCAGTTTAACTCCGAGGTCAAGCAAAATGGTTTCGGCGTGAATTAAAGGAAAACTTATATAACTCCAAAGTCTATAGTTTCTGTTGATTCGTCAAGTTTATCAGCCGCAGCGTTCACCTCCAGTAGTGTATCTATACTGCTGATACTCAACCCCGCCATCAGCTTACGAGCTGTTAAACTTTGGAACTTAGAGCTCAGGTCGGCAATAGATCCTAGATCACTGAGACTAGGATGGTCTGGTACGGAGTCTGGTTTCAGGGTGGATTGAGAGGAGGACCGGGAGAGGTCGGAGAGGCTGTCCTCGTATATTACCTCTTGGTCCAGGTGACGGTTGTTGTGGATTGTGTCGACACGATTCTTACTCAGCTGGGTTCGATTGTTAGAATTTTTATCATTCGAGTTTAGTCTGAGTTCGAGTTCTTGATTACTCTTCTCTATCACTATTAACGTATCATCGTAAAGGACGGAGTCTAGAGAGCTGGGACCCGAGAGAGAGCTGTGCCCACTCCCACTGTTGGAGCTTTCCGAGTTGGAACTACGTGATGTTGCATTTCTTTTGATCTGAGGAGACTTAACTTGGTTCGGAGATTCTCTTCTTGGAGAGTCCTTGTCATTAGATCTGGGCGTAGCTGCAAAATGAACTTGTTTCTGCGGGGTGGGTTTAGTTGAGGAGGAAACAAGGGAAGGTCTCTGGGGAGCAGGAGAACTGTTGGTAGTTACAACGCTCACTCTACCTTGAGTAGGTGGGCTCATTGGTCTATAGGGTGGAGCAGAACTGTATGCAGGAGGTTGGGGTTTGGTTGCTGAGTATAGACTAGGTTGGCTGTATATATGAGAACTGTTGTTTCCGTCATAGGTTTCCGTTCCCGGAGAATATATAGGAGGAGACTGGGGTAGAGGACGACTGGCAGGGTTCCGAGTTCCGTAATCTCTCTCGTAAACGACAAAGTTTCCGTTCGGACCGTTTTTCACTTGAGTAGTGGAAACAGATGGAGAATGAAGGTTGGGTCGGGTTGGTTTCCGTCTTACATGAGGTGGAGTCTGTGTCTCTACAGAGTTCAAATCAAGAGTTAAAGATCTGGACATTTCAAGTTCCGGCGGAGGAAACTGGGCGGAGAACGTTAAAATCTCTTTTTTGGGACTTCCGTTGGATTTCTTTCTTCCAAAGATACGTCCGAGGAAGGAATTTTTTCTTTCCATTTTTTTGGGACTTGGACTCGTTCTCTCCTCCTCCTCCTCTTGGTTTTTTGTATTCTCGTCAACCTCGTTCATTATTGCAAGTGCGTCCTTCTTTGATAACCTTAATGATCCTCCTTTAGACATTTGTTTTATGGATTTCTTAGAAATCCTCAAACTCTGACTCCGCTCCAGTGTGGCTTGAGTTTGTGGTGACTCCTGTAGAGATGAATCTGTTGAGCTGTGAGCAGAGCTATGGTTGGAACTGGAGGGGCTTGACGAGCTCAGGCTTATTCGTCCTAGTGGAGGAATGTTAGGACTCATGCCTCCAGGGTTCTGGGTCGGGGAATGTCTGGGACTCAGCTCTAGAGGACTCCAAGGAGAATGTCTCTGATGAATCAATCCCATCGGAGAAATATTGTTCAGGTTTAGATTCTGCCTATGCTGCTGCGGAGGCGTGGCTGTCTGGCTGGAATGTAAAGGAGAGGTTGGCCAGGAAGGTGCGGCAGGCCAACCGTTGGAGGGAGGTGTGGTCAAACTGTATCCATTGGTTTGCAGTTCGGTTTGACAGGCATTCTCTCTGGTAACTCGTCGGACAGGTTTCTTCGTCTTAGGTTTAAGTTTAGGAAGCGTGGATGGATCTGGAGATACAAGGAAATATCCTTTTCCAGTGTAGTAAACCTTCCTCTTCTTGATCAGACTACCAAGAGCGGCGTGGACTGTGGCGGGGAGGTTGTTGGTGGAGAGGGCCGGGAAGTCCCTAGAGAGCCTGGAGAGGATTGTGTTCATGTCTGCTACACACTCGGCTTGCTTTAGTTTATGCAGTATTAAGCATAGAGTCTCATGTAGTCCAGGACTTGGGGCCTAAAATTAATAATTTCTTTAACTTTGCACCATTATTATTATAATCTTAAAATTTTATTTTATTTAGATTCTTTTAATTTTTAAATTGATGAATTTTCAATGACAGTTAGCTGGCAAGCTGCTGAAATGGTTTATCAGTTTAATTGTTTGTGTTAATCATACATCTCTATTTTCGGTAAAACATTTTACGTTTCTATTAATAATGTTATGGATGTTATTTAAGTTCTATTTACCTGTAGGAATGGTGTTACACTGCAGCCCCCTGAGAGTCCTAATCTGTATATAGTATATCCAGGAGGGGTAGAGAGAGAGTGGGAGGCCCAAGCTTCTTGTAGGATCTTAACTCCAGAGCTATCCGTTAAAATAACGTTTATTTAAAAATTGACAAATATTTAAAGGCAATGTTGTGAATTATTGTGGCACTTTTAAAATCAAGATTCTCTGGTAATGTCTGGAATATTTTCTATGGATGTGGTTTCAAGATTCCCTCCATTTATGTTTAACTCAACACAGCGGCACACTTGAAATTGTTGCTGAATACAACCGGTTTCGATAAGTGTACACACACTTATCTCTGTATCAGACGAACATACAAAGGTTTTAAGGGCACCGTTGTAAATCGAGCACTGCAATCTCTTTACATAGAGGTTCTCTTGAAATTACGCTTACAGTCCCTTTAATTAAAAAAATGTTTAATTGTGGTTGCAGATTAGTGTTAAAGCAACAATGGATGATCTTGTCAGTCGATTTTAATTTTTAAAAAATATTGTAACACTAGCGAATATGATAAATAGTTCACACCTGGACCCTACACTGTTATTAGGGTTCACGCTTCAAATCTCTACAAATATTATTATTGTAATCTGGATCAATGACAGGTTTAGAAGAAAACAAATTGAATAATTAAGAATCAAAAAAGTGAAAACATAGTTTTGACACAAATTCTCAGAGCATTGTTTCAACCTTTCAAAATTTGAGGCAAATCGGTCAAGGAGTTATAATCGGACGGGCACACAAAGAGAAATAACTACGTATATAGATGGAAGGATAAAAGGATTTTTAAATACGACATGAAAGAGTTTATTAAATATATTTATAAATACAATATAGAGGAGATAGCCTAATAACTATTTATAACACTGTTGTTTTGGTTTGAAGTGTAAGCTCGGGACAAAATTAAATCTAAAAAGGCGAGAACCTTCTCGATAAAGAGAAAATTTCTGTCCAAAAACTTTATTGCACGTCGTGCCAAAATAATAGGTGATATAGGTAATTTAATGAAACGTTTGTGCACTGTCTTATTTCAATGGCTATTTCTAGATCAAATAAGCTTTGAAACAAAGCAGAAGTCAAAATATAAAGCTGATTTCAATTTTGCTTTTTTTTATCATTTCAATTGTAAAAAAAAATATTTTGAAAATGTACTAACTTTTGTAAAGAAAATTCGGGAACCAATCAAAACTTTATAGCACACATGCTATAATGTACAGCAAATTTAACATTTTAGCACAATGATTACTTTATAGCACGTTTATTATGAAATTCACGATGAAGTGTAGAAGAATGATAAAGTACACTATAGTTTCATAAAAGTATTTAAATGATTATAAACCAGATAAAGTAAAACTGAGATTTATAATTATTTAGTTGAAATAAATTTATAGATATGATATAGAATGTACGGATTAATAAGTAATTTTACGAACAGAAATAACCGTAAAACTCTGGAATATGAAGACGACTTTAAGACTAAAGTTATGACTTTTATAATTTCATTGGACATAAAACACAGCAGTTGTGCATTTTAAACAGACTCATTTTAGTTAATAATTGATTCGATAAGTTACTTGTAAAACTATTTGCTTTGTAACACCATAAAATACACTTAATTATTGCTTAAATGTCGTCTCTTTATTCCACAGTTTTCTAGTTCTCACTGTATATATATCTTTAGATATCATATAGAATTGATAGATAGATAAAAAGACAGATAATTAAAGAGAACTTGTTGCGGGGGCAGATATACATTAATTTTGTCTTGGCCAAGAATTAACGAGAAAAAGAGCGCTAGTTAATTAAACATGATTAATGGCTGATAATAAATGTTCTAGAAAGATAGATAAACATTAAGACCCGGCCCCGTTAAGGCATTTTAAACTCATTTGCCTTTTTAATATGTTTTGTTAAAGTCATTGAAACAATCATAAATGCATCCATTTATCTGATATTCTCTGTCAAAGTTATCATTAGTTCTCACAGATCAAGGTTCAAAGTAAAAATATTATTTTTAAGACATGCAGTGTAATTCTATTAGCTAGCCATGGATACTTTTTAAATCTTTCTTTCCAACCCTCAAAAATGATTGACAAGTAGGCGTATCTCCCCTTCCCCAGCCCCCAGTACGGATCTGGTATCAATGGACAGGACCGGAGAGGTGGATCCTAAAAACCGTCTTCCAAGTGAGGAATCTGTTACTGAGACGACACTTGTGAAGTTTTGAGCTGACAGATCCATTATCTTCTTATATCCAACCCATAATCTCCGACACGAGGAATATACACGCAGGGTTCAGAGAACACCCGGAGAACTTGGCCTTCAGTCTTCTCTGTATTCAGACATAACCTTGTAAGCTTTAATCGTCCGGTACTAAAGTTATTCACGGTTGAAAACCCCGCTGAAATTTTCTAACTTCGATCCCAAGCTTTCTCAGGGTTTTACAAGGTTTTAGCAAGATGGGAACTCCAGGCTTAAAGAGTTAACACAAAGAACAAACTAAAGTTTCATGTTCGGGTCCAAAACCTTGAAGAATATTCACAGGATTTATAAACATATTTTATTTAAAATTAAATTCTCGACTATTTGATGAACAGAAAACAAAACTCTTGACAATTCGATGAACAGAAAACAAAACTCTTGACAATTCGATGAACAGAAAACAAAACTCTTGACAATTCGATGAACAGAAAAAAAACTCTTGACAATTCGATGAACAGAAAACAAAACTCTTGACAATTCGATGAACAGAAAATTTTTTTTGACAATTCGATGAACAGAAAACCAAACTCTTGGCAATTCGATGAACAGAAAACAAAAATTCTTGACAATTCGATAAACAGAAAACAAAACTCTTGACAATTTGATGGCCAGAAAACAAAACTTTTGACAATTCGATGAACAGAAAACAAAAATTTTGACAATTCGATGAATGGAAAACCAAACTCTTGACAATTCGATGAACGGAAAACAAAACTCTTGACAATTCGATGAACAGAAAACAAAAATTCTTGAATATTTGATGAACGGAAAACAAAACTTTTGACAGTTCGATGAACAGAAAACAAAACTCTTGACAATTCGATGAACAGAAAACAAAACTCTTGACAGTTCGATGAACAGAAAACAAAATTCTCGACAAGCCGATGAAAAGAAAAGAAAACTCTTAAGTTAATGAACCAAAGACTCTTTTTTATAATTAAAGTAAAAAAAACTTGAATCTATACTTTTTTCAACCACTTTTAAACATCGGAACAATTCATAGGTTTATTTTAAAAAAATAGCAATATTTAATTGACATTGAGAAAATACTTGACAATCCGAAAAACAGAAATGTTCAATGAGAATACCATCTGTTAAGAGTAGAAGAGTGGAATAATAGACATGAAGAACTATTTGCCTGAACTATATATTCGTATAAAACATCTACATGCACGACTGCACCTGATGAGAGTTAAAATGATAGGAAACAAAAGATGAATAAAAAGTTGAATAAATTACTGTTAAACTTGGTCGATTATACTTCATTATCCCTCTTCTTTGGATGCATCCAACAGGGTTTGCTCTTGGTTTGCTCAGGCAGAAAATTGTTAAACTTATCAGCCGAAGCAGGAGAAGAAGTATACAGTCCAATAAACAGGAGTTTTCTTCAAATTAAACTCGGCATAAACATTGTTTACTATTGTAAAATTATTATATACCCGTTTTAATTAGTGTTAAGGACAAAACTTGTTTAAGGTGCAATATGTGGATGAAAACTAGTTAAAGAATTAAGAGCAAAACATGTAAGCAGCAAAACTAGAAAAAAAATAAGTGGAGAGCGAAAAGAGTAAAGTAGAATTTAGAAAGAATATCTTTTAAAGGAGAAAAACAAGTTAAAGGGGAAAGCAAGAAAGTAGAATGTAGAATTAAAATCAGTCGTAAAAGGATAATAGATGAGCAGAAGAATAAAAATATTAGATTGACAAGAAAAACTACATTACCATAGAAAAAAATGCACAGAAAAAAAAGATTTGAACAAAAGCAAAATTCAAAGAAGGTATACCAAATGAAACTTACTATTAAACAAATTTAAAAATCGGATCCAGCTTTTTGAGGAAGAAAAAACTGGTTGAGGAAGTAAAAGACCAAATGTTAGTAAACAAGTGAGTTCTTGAATAGCAAAACTAGCAGATAATAAGTCGGAGCATTAGTTTAAAAATATAAAAGTAAAACTAGTTTTGTAAAAAAAACCTACTGCGCAAACTTTTACCATGAGCTAAACTAGTCCGAGATATGATCTGTATCCAGAGTATATTAGAGCTGTGTTGGTAGTTATGGAATGTGAAATATTTTGACAGATCAAGATTGTAGAATAAACTGCTCCATGTGCAGGCATTAACACAGGAGAGGCAACGGTTTATCTAGATCTGATTAATCCAACTAAAATTCTTTTTATATAACGATGCTTAGCTTTCGTGTTAACAGACTTTGACCATATACAATGTACGTACAAGGAGCTAAGGAAGATGTTAATAGAATCTAGATCACTGCAGTATCCGGGTTCCCACGCTCTCTATAGATTTTAGAAGAAACTTCAACCCAGAAACCTTATTTCTTCTTATAGATCCACAGAGTATACAAGAAATTGAATGACTTCTATGAGTTTCCTAGTCCTAGTTCCATAGAATATGAAGAACTAAGTTTATCGAACTCCTGAATCCAGAGAGTATGCAAGAACTAAGTTTTCCTAACTCGTATTTCCATAGAGCATGCAAGAACAAAGTTTCCCTAATTCCTAGGTCCATAGAGTATGTAAGAACTGAGTTTTCATAACTTCTAGGTCTACAGAGTATGCAAATAGATCCAAGAACTGAGTTTCCCCCCATTCTAGTTCTGAGATTATATGAGTACTTATTGTTTCCTATACCTACTGGAGCAGTGATTGTACTGAATCATAAAACAGAGAACATTGCTATACATTGAATCCAAGATTTTATGAGAACTTGTTGTTTCTTATACCTACTGGAGCAGTGATTGTACTGAATCATAAAACAGAGAACATTGCTATACATTGAATCCAAGATTTTATGAGAACTTGTTGTTTCTTATACCTACTGGAGCAGTGATTGTACTGAATCATAAAACAGAGAACATTGCTATTTCTTGACTCGGAGATTTTATGAAAACACAGTGTCTCCTAATCTCAAGATAATATTTAGCCTGAACCCTAATCATCCCATTTTGATCACATGATTTCCCACACATGAGGTTGGACAATATCATATAACAATTGTTAATATATTTATAGTTTGCCAACATGAGCATGTGAATAAGACCCTAGTTATAATGCAAAGAATATCATATCTGTATTCTGTATGCCAGTTTTCCACGTTTTTAAACGAGTCCCTTTACTAGGATTGTGAGCATAGTTTAAATGAACCCTTTTCTGTTTTAAGATTTTCATGAAGTTACTAACGGACCCTTTAAACCTTTTTCCGAGGAACGAAAAAACTGAACGGAAGGATTATATCTCCATCATAAATATTCAGATAAACTTTTCTAAAAGGGTTTCTGTAATTTCAATTGACCATCTATTTATAGAGTGGATGCAAGATTTACAACAGTACCCTTAAAAGCTTTGTCTGATCAAGTATGATGAGATAGCAATGTTTATGATTTTGAAATTGAGGTTTCTCTACAATAGTGACTTCCCCATTAATACTACAGGAAAACCAGGCAGAAATTATCAGCATTAAACACTTTTCAAGCTACAAAACCTACGTTATCTTCCACATTCTTCAACAGACAAAGCTTTTAAGGTACCGTTGTGAAAGTACGCTTACAATCCCTTTAAAGAACATTGTTGTAAACAGAAAAAGAATCTCTTTAAATGGCGGGTAAAAAAAGGGTCCGTGCGAAAGCTTCAGAAAAGTTTAGCATTGAGGAAAATGAATAAGCTATGTGCGAGGGTGTGAGGAACTCATTAAAGATTCTAAATAGGACGAGTTCTCAGGGACAGTTGGAGATATCAGGGGAACAGGATACAAGGACAATTTAAGGAATAATTGGTTTAGATTTGAAGGAAGGAATTTAGATAGATTCGGACTCAAGTGCCGGTTTAGGAGAGAAGTTTGGAATGAGATGAGTTTGTTATACGAGTTATACTAGGTACCAGATTTAATAAATAGCGATAAGTGGTTTATTGTGTTGACTTAGTTCAACCAATTCTCTTGTGCGCCGGGTCAAGCTAAAAAGAAGTTGTTCATTTATGTTTCTCTATTCATTAAATCTTGTCCTTGGAACTGTTGGAATCGAATTTAACGAATTTGAGCTAGGTAGCTGAACTACCTGTACATACTTATTTACAATTCTAAACTATGTAGATCATGGACAAATCCTGAATCACCGATTCAAGATAAGTGGTTGAACCGTTACTAGACCTAGCTCAAATTTAAAAATGTATACGCTTTTATCTTATCTAAAGGATAGGGTATGTGAGATATTTAATCGTTGTCATGTACAATCTCCTCTTTATAATATGGCGCGGTGCGAGGGTCATAAGAAACCGTGGATTTATCAGTGAATTTAGTTACAGGGTTTCCCGCAAAGGATGAGACTTAAATGACCACCTAAAGCTTAAATAAAATGTAGTATTTCTAGTATATTAGGATACAGAACTAGACATATTATAATAGTAGGATACAGGACTAGACATATTACAGTAGTAGGATACAGGACTAGATATATTACAATAGTAGGATACAGGACTAGACATATTACAATAGTAGGATACAGGACAAGAGATATTACAATTGTAGGATACAGGACTAGATATATTACATTAGGGAAGTTTGTGTAGGTGTCGGAGTATACCTAGGATAACAAGAGGCGGGAGTTTGTGCTGTATTATAGAGATTCAAACTATGAAAGGAGAAGATTTAAAGAGATAAACCCCTAAAAGGATTAAAATATCGTTTGTAGGTAAACGGTGCGGTTCATGTTTCCTCTCCGAGACACTTTAAATACAGCCCGTATATCCTGCTGTAGTAGGAGAACAAAAACAGTTCTAAACCTGGATATTCATCTTAACCCTTCGCTACAGCAATCCGCTCTAAGCAGTTTTTAAATATTTAGGAACTGGACGAGGAACATGGGGGGGGGGGGGTAATCACAGGATTGAAAAGAAAGGTAAAATCATGAATAATCATTTCTTGGAAGGCTTTTACAAAATCCGAGATCCTACCCTCAATCCAGCCTAGAACCCCCCCCCCCCCTGTGTCTAATCCAACCAGGATAATGTATTTTAGGAAATCAAATTCAAACATTAGTAAATTGTAAGCTAACCTGGTATTTAAGGCCGAGGACTGCCTTGAGGAAGGGCAGGTTCCAGAAATGGATAGAATTAGACTCCTGAACCTCCTGGAACACCTGGAGACCCTCAACCTCCTGGCAACACTGGGTAGAGAAGGCGTGGCAGGTGGGACACTCCCCCTCCCCCTGGAGCAGTCTACCGCCCAGCTCCCCCTGCTCCCTCCTGAAGATCTGTATGAGGAGGGTCTGCTGCATCAATGCTATAGTCTCAACCTGAGAACTCACTGAGTTCCCATTCTCCTGAAATATGATAAATTGATTCTAACATCTGGTCTTTTGTTTTTAGACACTTTGTAACATTACACAAGAATGGTTAAAAGTGAAGTTTCATTGGGTTCAACATAATGTTCTGACATTAATAATTCATTGATGGATTCCAAAAATGTTCAAAGATTTACAATGTAAATCTATTTTGTCTATTAAACCGTGAATAGTCCCATTCAACTAAAAAGATAGTAATATGTTGATTCTACGTCACTCCTCTCTTTATCTGATTAAAATGTCTAATCAAAAATCAGTTATGAATGATTTGATTCAGAAAAAAATCAATTACGCTAAATGAAGCATTGACGTTGCATTAAAGTGTTTGAATTTAACTACTTGAAAGCCTGTCTATAAGTACAAATGATAAATTTGAAAAAAAAACTTTTAGAAACTTAACCTTCATTGAATATACAAGATTAAGGTAAAAAGAAACTGAAACTATGAAACTGAAACTGAAAGTTTAGACTTTAAAACATCGAATTATCAAAATTTGATAACGTTTTTCTGGATAATACGGTGTTAGAGTTGTGATTGCATTCCGACTCAAATACCATAATTTATTAGCAGTAAAATATTAAGATGATAACGATAACAATTGCAAGATGCAATCAAAACCAAAGTATTGCGTAATTTAAGCAAATGCAATCCACAATCTGTAAAATACTGCAGCTGAATTTGCATGCAACAAACCAGAAATGACAACCCTAATTATTTGCAATTTTTCCAGATAAAGAACCACGGAAGGATTCCAATTTCAAGTTGAAATAAAATCGTAAAGGTTAAATTAGATCTTTTGTCTTTTCATGAATTTGCAACGAAAGGGATTAAAAAATGTAAAATTAAATATGAATAAAAATTTCTTTTTCAGTGGTTCATGCATTTTAAAGACTAATCATTTAAGTTGTTTAACTTCAATGCTTAGACAAACTTCTTCCACCATTTCGCATTTTTTCCATGAATTTCAATCAATTATTTGTTACAATTAGGTGTAATTTCCTTATATTGTTAGACTTTTCACAACCTCTAATTTGCTGATTACTTCATCTTTGCCACCTGATGGTGTAAACCTTTGATGTTTCACACTTAGACTTTTTGATTTAGTAGAACTCATAGTTTGTGATAAAAAGTATTGTAACATCAGAGATGGAATTTAAAGAATTTGAGCCGCGGTTTAAATCTGCCAAAACCCGGTTTAAATTAAGCTCCGGCTTAAATCTTGAAACATTTGATACCATTTTAAGTGGAACCAACCATATTTAAGCCGCGGCTTAAATTTAAACCGCCGCTCAAATTCTTTAAATTCGGCTACAGGTTGCAACAATAGAAAGACAAGAAAAATAGCGGTTGAACATTGAATACCCCCTATAGAAGCATTAGAGGTTTGGATCATGTAAAATAAAAAAGGACAATGTAGGAGTACAACATCAAATATAATTAGGACAAGATGAAAGAATATAAAACAATAAAGGACATTTACAGAGATTTTAGAACACCCAGAATAAACAAGATTTACCTGAGAATGATTATTCTCCTGAGCAGGATTGGAGGATGAGGATGAGGATGAGGTTGAAAGGTATAATGTAGACTCCACATGTCTGGAGCTAAGGCACCCTACTGGCATAGTGTTGCTCTCTCTTGTATCTTCGACCGCGACGTGATTCCGCCTTCTAGTTTTCTCTCTGTATCTGTGTAATGTTTACTCTAGGTACAATATAGAGCTGGGATGAGATATGAACGAGGTGGAACACACAGAATTCATTCTGACACTAGATTTATTCTTCTCTAACCGTCCCTTCTCCAGTAGGTGTTTTCTATTGTTCTCAAGCCAGGAGTAGTCTGAAATAGAAATCATTTTATTTTCAGAGTACGGAGAATATTCATCTTTTGGCTCAGACGGAGATCAGACATTTGCTATTTATATTTGCAAATACAAATAGAAGATGATTTAACACATGTGTGTTTACTTANAATTAAAACGCCAGAAAAAATGTCGGTTTAAATTGTTGAAATGTCTGAAATGAATGATTGAAATATAATTATATAATATGGTGAATTGTGAGGTTCAGCTCGTTTTGAAGAGTGCAAATGATCTTTGTCTGGAAGAAGCTTCCGAGTAATTATACTTGAAACCATGGTTCCCATGACTTTAGCCTACTTAGGGTCAATCCTAGATCCTAGTTCGATTCTAACCATTAGTTCAATCTTATCTAGATCTTGTTTTTCCTGCAACTAATTACATGTTTACAAGTAAATATACCAAAACCAACCCAGAGAAAACTTTAAATTTAAAGAATTTGACCGGAAAGTGTAATTACAGATCTTAACTTCGTTTAGTTTAGTAAATTTCCCTTAACTGAAAATATTTTTAAAAATCAATTGTCACATATATAATCTGTCAAACAACAATATAATCTGTCAAACAGCAATACAATCTGTCAAACAGCAATATAATCTGTCAAGTCAAACAACAATATAATCTGTCAAAGAGCAATATAATCTGTCAAACAACAATATAATCTGCCAAACAGCAATATAATCTGTCAAACAGCAATATAATCTGTCAAGCAGCAATATAATCTGTCAAACAACAATATAATCTGTCAAAGAGCAATATAATCTGTCAAACAACAATATAATCTGTCAAACAGCAAAATAATCTGTCAAACAGCAATATAATCTGTCTAACAACAATATAATCTGTCAAACAACAATATAATCTGTCAAACAACAATATAATCTGTCAAACAACAATATAATCTGTTAAACAACAATATAAACGCCCTAAAATACCAAATTAATCGATATAAGTACTTAACCTAACTACTAATTGATTCTAACTACCTAATAATAAATAGATTTCTACTTTTCCGAAAATCAAACCAAACTTAATTGATTTGAATGTCAAACCAACCCAATTAAACCATTTCTGATTTTCAAGGCAATCAAGGAATTTTACCGAAATAGATTAAAAAGTTTCCAAGTTTCTTTAAACCGTGCTGATGAAAGGAATCTTTAGTTAGAACCTGATCACAATAAAATCAATCAATTTTGCTTCATCATCGTTCTTCCATATATAGACAATATGATTATAGATAGAAAACAGGCAATCAATTTGTCAACTATTCAGTTAGTCAACTAGTCAACTAGTCAACTAGTCAACTAAACAACTAGTCAACTAGTCAACTAGTCAACTAGTCAACTAGTCAACTAGTCAACTTGTCAACTAATCAACTAGTCAACTAGTCAAATAGTCAAATAGTCAACTAATCAACGAGTCAACTAAACAACTAGTCAACTAGTCAACCAGTCAACTAATCAACTAGTCAACTAGTCAACTAAACAACTAGTCAACTAGTCAACTAAACAACTAGTCAACTAGTCAACTAAAAATTATTCAGTTATTCAACTTAACAACTATTCAGTTAGTCAACTAAACAACTAGTCAACTAGTCAACTAATCAACTAGTCAACTAGTCAACTAGTCAACCGGTCAACTAGTCAACTAGTCAACTAGTCAACTAGTCAGCTAGTCAACTAGTCAACTAGTCAACTAGTCAACTAATCAACTAGTCAACTAAACAACTAGTCAACTAGTCAACTAAACAACTAGTCAACTAGTCAACTAAACAACTAGTCAACTAAAAAAACTATTCAGTTATTCAACTTAACAACTATTCAGTTAGTCAACTAGTCAGCTAGTTAACTAGTCAACCTGACAATAAGTCAACTAGTCAGCTAGTCAACTAGTCAATTAGTCAGCTAGTCAACTAGTCAATTAGTCAGCTAGTCAATTAGTCAGCTAGTCAATTAGTCAGCTAGTCAACTAGTCAACTAGTCAACTAGACAACTAACCAACTAGTTAACCTGACAATAAGTCAACTAGTCAGCTAGTCAACTAGTTAACTAATCAGCTAGTCAAAAAGTCAACTAGTCAACATAGAGTTAACTAGTCAACAAATCAAGGAGTCAACTAATCATCTAGTCAATTAGTTAACAAATCATCCAATTAACTATTCAACTATTCAGTAAGTCAACTAGTCAACATGTCAACATGTCAACATGTCAACATGTCAACTTGTCAACTATTCAGTTAGTCAAGCAGTCAACTAGCTAACAAGCCAACTATCTAACTACCCAAATTTAGCCAACTAGCTAAAATTCATTCAACAAGTGAACTAACAAATCTCTCTCTGCTTTATTATTTGTTCCGTTTGTTTTATGTTTATGATTTTACTGCAGAGCATATATTGTGCTCATCTTGGCTCATTCTAGTATTTAGCAGTTTTTATAGTTTCCAAACATTTCTTCAGGTTCTTATAATCTTTGACAGTTATTGTGACTTCACTAAAATTAACCAATTCTTGAGTTCAACTCTGGCCTGACTTCTCACCCCTCTGCCTCTTTCTGTTCTAACTGTATACCCTGAGTAGTTATAATGATGAACCTGAACCTGGCAAATAATGGATTTAAATCCCTCCATGGTGGTAACTGGGATCACCAGGATTCTCATCTCAATGAAATGCATATATTTACTTAGCTCTGGCTTACTGCATAGATTAAACTGATAAGCACTGTCAATAGAAGGTGAGGTTTAAGAGAGCAGATCTATGCATGTTTCTTATCAGGCGACGCACAAGTATGTAATCAAGGGAAGAGGGAGAATTGGGGGGAGGTAGGAAAAGTAGGAGAAAAAGAAGAGGGTTAATGGAGGCGAGAAGGGACGAGGGGGACGAGCAGGCTCGTAACCAGGATTTGACCGGGGGGGGGGGTGCAAATAGTCGTGCCGCAAGCGAAAATTTGTTTGGGGGGGGGTTTTAAGTGATTTTTAACAATGTTTGGTATGTGTTTAAGTGGTATGGTTGTTTTTATTACATTGTGAATGCACACTAAAACACTATTTAAGCTTATAAGGGTTACATTAGTGTCTGAAAGGGGGGGGGTGCAAATTCGTCATTGCATCCCCCTTTTAGAAAAAGGGGGTGCACCTGTCCCCATGCACCCCTCCCCCCCTGGTTACGGGCCGGGGGACGAGTAGGAGAGAATGGCAGAGAAGTAAGGATATAGAGCTAAGTAGAAGGTAAGAATTAAGGTAATTTGGAAAGCCTGGAGAAATGAAATGTGGATAGAATGAGATAAAGAGATGAGTAGAACGGAGAAATAAGTGTGATATAGAGGGACGGAGGGGAATGGACTGAGAAACAAATTATGATGGAGAGAATAAAGTGAGGTTGGATTGTGTATTGTGGAGTTCATGGATTGCAGGTGTAAGGACGAAAAGAGAGGTAGGAAGGGGGAAAATTGGAAGCAATCTAAAAGACTGGGAGCCAAAAGGAGATTAAAAGGGAGATTAGACTGGGAGAATAGAGTGGTAGCAAAGGGAGATTAAATTGGGAGCAAATAATGAATAGCCCTGGAGCAAAAAAAGAAGATATGTCTGAGCAAGGAGAGAACAGAGAGAGGGAAAGGGGAGAATAGAGTCTTGGCAAAGAGAGAATAGAGCAGGAGCAAATGGATAATAGAGATAGAGCAAAGGGAGAATAGAGGAGGAGCAAATATGGGATAGAGTGAGAAGGAATGCTGGGATAGATAGAGTGAGGAGGTAAAGGAAATGGAAAGAAGAAGGATGGGACAGGGAGAAGGGGGAAAGGGAGGTATATATATATGGAAGGATGGATAGAGTCGGGAGGGATAGGAGAGGGAAATAAGCGGTATTGGAAAGGGTGGATAGAGTCAGGATTGATAGGAGAGGGAAAGGGGAGGTATTGGGAAGGGCGGATAGAGTCGGGAGGGATAGGAGAGGGGAAAGGGAGGTATATATATGTATATAGGGAAGGGTGGATAGAGTCAGGACTCAGGAGTGATAGAAGAGGGGAAGGGGAGGTATAGGGAAGGGTGGATAGAGTCGGGAGGGATAGAAGAGGGGAAGGGGAGGTATAGGGAAGGGTGGATAGAGTCGGGAGGGATAGAAGAGGGGAAGGGGAGGAATAGGGAAGGGTGGATAGAGTCAGGAGGGATAGAAGAGGGGAAGGGGAGGAATAGGGAAGGGTGGATAGAGTCAGGAGGGATAGAAGAGGGGAAGGGTGGATAGAATCTGGGAGGGATAAGACTAGGGATACAAAGGTGGAGGATAACACGTATTATTTACTCCCAGTTGTCTCTGTTAAATGTCATCAATTCCTAATTTTAACGTGAATTGTTTTGTATATATTTGTCTATTTTCCTATCTGTCTTCCTGACATTGATTACGCTGCCCTAAAGTATAAAGTTTCATTGTTAAAAATCAAGGGCAGTAAACTGCAGGATTAGGTTTCAAACAGATTCTGAAAACTGTTGAAAATATGAGAAGTGTGGGGCGCGTGTGGTGTTCTCCCAACTCTGCCGCGCACGTAATAAATCTGAGTTAAAGTCTGGTTAAAAGCGCGGTATGTTGCGTGCTTAAGTGCGTGATTATAAACCTGTAGTTCAGAGACCAACGGATTATCAGATTAATAAAAAATAAAAATTTGATTTTTACAAATATCGAAAAAAAAAGTTTTGAGAATACTCCGAACTACATAAATCCTAATTATTATGAAAACATGGTATACAGGATCCTGGAACACAAAGAACTCAATCGACCATCATAAACATTCGGATCAAATTCTCAACATAATTCTATCAATTCTACTAATCTAGAATTTAATAGGATTTACAAAAGATGACAAGAAGGAAGGACTGAGTTCAACAACTCACTCTTTAAAGGGACTGTCAAAGTAATTTCAAATGACCTTTCGCTCATTTAAAAAGTTTCATGCACCAATTCACAACGGTACTCTTTAAACCTTCATCTGAGTAAC